CTGAAGCTCGAGGTTCCTCGCTTCGATGGCTCCAATGCATTGGGCTGGATCCTCAAGATCACCCAATTCTTTGAATTTCACGGTACACCGGAAGAACAACGGCCGCGGATTGCTTCGTTCTACATGGAAGGCGAGGCACTTAACTGGTATCAATGGATGCATGCTAGTGGTCAAATCACTAGCTGGCCGCAACTGTTGCAATCCTTAGAACTCCATTTCGCACCTTCGCAATACGATGACCCGAAAGGCGATTTGATGAAATTGTTGCAGACGACTTCCGTCCGTGACTATCAGTCCCAATTTGAGGTTTTAGCCAACCGCTGCATTGGCCTCCCTCACCCTTACCTCTTGAGTTGTTTTATTTCGGGCCTCAAACCGGAGCTCCGTCGGGAAGTTCAAGCTCTCCAGCCCATGACTCTACCTCAAGCTATTGGGTTGGCCCGCCTCCAGGAGGACAAACTAAATGATCAACGCTTGCCATCGCGTTCCAAATTCTTCAGTGGCTCACAACCTTCCGCATTTGGGGGTAATCGGTCCCCGATCACGACTTCAACGGTTACCGCAGGACAGTCCACCCCTTTGGGTCGTACCTTCCATAAACCCAACATCAAACGTCTTTCCCCTGAGGAACTCCAGATCCGCCGTGACAAAGGGCTTTGTTACAATTACGATGACAAGTACCATCCCACGCACAAGTGCAAGCGTCAATTTCTGCTACTGATTGCGTCGCCAGATCAAGCTGCTGATGATGACGACCTTCACCAAATGATGCTGGATTGCTCCAACCCCACTGTGGATGACTGTACTGACCCACCACCCGGACCCACAATAGATGCGGCCCAGATAAGTTTCCATGCCCTCTTGGGCCATTCGGTTCCCCAAACTTTACGTGTTCAGGGCCGCGTGGGTAAGGCCCATTTGTCCTTATTAATTGATAGTGGCAGTACCCACAACTTTATTCAAGGACGCATTGCTAAATATTTGGGCTTAGAAATCCACCAGGCCCAAGGATTTCAGGTGTTAGTGGGCAATGGGGAAGAATTAAACTGCTCCTCTATGTGTAAACAGGTCCCACTTTTTATTGCTGATCACCAGTTCTTTGTTGATTTTTATTTGCTGCCCATTTGTGGAGCAGATCTTGTGCTAGGGGTCCAATGGCTTAAAACGCTAGGCCCAGTGCTCACCGATTATGAAGCCTTAACCATGAAGTTTATCAAGGAGGGCAAGTTGGTCTTGGTTCAAGGAGTTGCTTCTGAGCAGGCCCAAGAACTTAACTCAGCCCAGTTGAAGAGACTGATATCCACACGTGCCATCGCAGAATTATATCATCTTCAAGCTATCCCACCTCACGCCACGTCAACCCCACCCACCACATACCCTCCTGAAATCGAAAATATCCTCTCCAAATTCCATTCCCTTTTTGAGATCCCCTCTGAGCTACCACCATCTCGCCCCACTGACCATCACATTCCCCTACCCCACAGTTTAGATCCCGTCAATGTCCGACCGTACCGCTACCCGTATTTTCAGAAACGGGAAATCGAGAAATTAACGGCTGAGATGTTGGATTCGGGCATTATTCGACCGAGTTCTAGCCCATTTTCTTCTCCGGTACTCCTGGTCAAAAAGAAAGACGGCTCGTGGCGCTTCTGCACAGATTATAGGGCCCTTAATGCATTAACTCAGAAGGACCGCTTTCCCATTCCAACCATTGACGAGCTACTCGACGAACTTCATGGAGCTTGTTGTTTCTCCAAGCTGGATCTTCGTTCAGGCTACCATCAGATACGCATGGCACCAGGTGATATCCCAAAAACGGCCTTTCGAACCCACGAAGGCCTTTTCGAATACTTAGTCATGCCTTTTGGATTGTGTAACGCTCCTGCTACTTTCCAATCCACTATGAATGTGTTATTCAAACCTTATCTTCGGCATTATGTTATTGTGTTTTTTGATGATATATTAGTGTACAGTAAATCTGTCGCTGACCATATCAAGCACTTGGAGGAGACATTTCACTGCCTTTGGACTAACAAAAAATTTTTGAAGCGTTCCAAATGCACCTTCGCTCAGTCTTCCTTGGAATATTTGGGCCATATCATCTCGGATAAGGGCGTCGGACCTGACCCTGAGAAAATAAAATCCATGCTTGCTTGGCCAATACCGACTACCATCAAGCAGCTCCGTGGTTTTTTGGGGCTGACGGGTTTCTACCGTCGTTTTGTGCAGAAGTATGCTTCAATAGCTTCTCCACTGACAGACATGCTTAAAAAAGATGCTTTCCAGTGGAACCCTCGAACTCAGCAGGCCTTTGAACTTCTTAAGGAAGCAATGACACAATCTCCAGTCCTGGCCCTACCCGATTTCAACATGCCTTTTACATTAGAGACTGATGCTTCCGGAGAAGGGTTAGGTGCAGTGTTACTACAGGGTGGGCACCCTATATGCTACTTTAGCAAGAAATTCTGCGCTAAACTAGTATCGTCCTCCACTTATGTCCGCGAACTCCATGCTATAGTCAAAGCTGTAAAAAAATGGCGGCATTATTTGTTGGGGCGCAAATTTACAATACACACAGACCAGCGAAGCCTCAAGGAGCTAATGACCCAAGTCATTCAAACCCCTGACCAACAGTACTACCTTTCCAAACTTTTGGGATACGACTATAACATTGTCTACAAACCTGGTCGTGACAACCGCGCCGCAGATGCACTATCCCGGGTACCTACTTCCCAGGCCCAAGTCCTCACCCTTACTGTACCTCAATTTGAGTTTCTCCCTAAGCTCATAGAGGACTACGGCAATGACCCAAGCTTAGCACAGATGATTAAAGAGTTGGAGACCGACTCACTGTCACACCCGGGGTATTCTTTACAACAGGGCCTTCTTCTGTATCATGGTAAAATTATGGTGAGTGCAGCTTCTTCTTTCAAGAACTTATTACTCGCAGAGTTCCATGCAACTCCGCTGGGAGGTCATATGGGAGTCCACAAGTCTTACTCGAGGCTTCAAGAAAATTTCTACTGGGATGGTATGAGAAAAGACATGATCGAGTTTGTTAAACACTGTCTGGTTTGTCAACAGGTTAAGTCTCCAACTACTAAGCATGTGGGGCTCTTACAGCCAATCCCCATTCCCACACAAATTTGGGAAGACATTTCCCTGGATTTCATAACAGGGCTGCCTTCATTCCAAACCTCCACGGTCATTCTGGTTGTTGTGGATAGATTTTCTAAAGCGGCCCATTTTGGCATGCTGCCTACCAACTTTACGGCCACCAAAGTAGCTGAACTGTTTGCGCATCTGATTGCCCGCTTGCATGGAATGCCTAAGAGCATCATATCCGATAGAGATCCTATCTTCATGAGTCATTTCTGGCAAGATCTGTTTCGCTTAAGTGGTACTAAACTCAGAATGTCTTCTGCTTACCACCCACAAAGCGATGGCCAAACCGAAGTCATGAATAGGGTGTTGCAACAGTATCTACGGTCTTTTGTTCACCATCAACCAAAGTTGTGGGGCCGATATCTTCATTGGGCTGAGTGGTGCTACAACACTTCTTCCCATTCGGCTACTGGCATAACACCTTTTCAAATTGTTTTTGGCCGCGAACCTCCTAACATTCCTACATATGTCACTGGCACTAGTAAGTTGCAAGCTGTAGATGCTACTTTACTCAACAGAGATGCTATCCTATCTAAGGTCAAACAGCAGTTGTTAAAGGCCCAAGAATCCATGAAAAAGTTTGCTGATAAGAAACGTTTAGATCACTCGTTCAAACTGGGTGATTTAGTGTTGGTTAAGCTTCGCCCCTATAAGCAGCAATCCTTGGCTAATCGCACTTGTCACAAGTTGGCAAAAAAGTACTACGGGTCGTTTCCAATCATTAAATGCATTGGTGAAGTTGCGTTTGAGCTGGAACTACCCAAGGGATCTCAAATCCACCCCGTCTTTCACTCCTCTCTTCTCAAACCATTTTTTGCTGATTCTATTGATAGGCATTTACCACTTCCACCTACCAATCGTCTTCACCAACCAGTCATTAAACCACTCGCGGTATTGGACATTAAGGAGCATTCTGATTCTACCAAGGTACAAGCTTTTATACAGTGGACTGGTCTCTACCCCGAGGACTCATCTTGGGAAGATTTGGCCGAGGTACTCCAGAGTTATCCCCACCTACACCTTGAGGGCAAGGCGTTTCTTGAAGGAAAAAGGGATGATAAGGAACAAGAGGACCAGGCTCAACTAATTGGTGAAGAGGCCCACACTGAACTAATGGACATGGAACCACAAGAAGACTCGACAGAAGAGTTCAACAGCCTAAGGGTTAAATGGTCCAAACGATATAAAACCAAGCCCAAATGGATGAGGGGCTATTTGGTCTCTTAAGGGCATCAGAAAGGGAAACGTGAATTGTTATGCCGTTAGGGGAGAGAGAGAGTAGTTTGTTATGAGGGAATGGATGGCAATGCTTTACAGGCATGCCTCAATAGTATGTTTGCTGTTTTTCTGTTATGGAGTGTGTGTATAAAGAATCCTATTTCCTTATTGCAATGTATCAGACGTTTAGTAACCAATTTGGTTAAGGAGGCACCTCCCCTCGAAGGAGGATTATCGTTCTGTTTTTCATTATAGCCCTGTATTTCACACCTGGTTACTGTCAATAATGTTTCTGTGTTTACAATAGCTATCACTTGTCCATTTCAAAATAACTGGTTTTCATCATACAATGTCACATACATAAGCTGCATAGGCTATTTCTTGGACTATGGATAATCAGATGCCTAACTTTTCTCCTTCTAAATCAATTAAAATGCTGCATGATATCTATTTGTTAATATTGTGCTTAAAAAAATGCGGTGATAAGATAGGCAAATGTTTCGTCCCGGGCAAGGACCAAAAAACAAATAACAACAAAGATTGAGAAGAATTACAGAACAGTTCAAGATTAAGCAGATAGGGAACTTTAATTTCCTCATCTTCCTCACCACACAAGAGCGCCATGTATTAACTACCTAGAAGTAGATAAAATCAGTACAATATAATAGAGACATTATATCAATATATGCAATTACACTGTTCCCCGTAAATTGGTTAGGTTGAAACCTTCTGGAAGTCACGCTATCCTGCAAATGAATATCAACACAAGTCAGCATCCTAGAATATTAATTGTAATAGCACAACTGGGAAAAATGGAGACATGCTTCGGCTGTAATTTGTCATCACAAAGGGCCTATCAAACTCGAAAGGAAAATCGTACTGAACAGCTACTACAAAAGCGTTCCTCTGTGATACTGATATATAATGCAAAATGATAAGATAAAGCATATTTTGTCTCCCAAAGTAAATGCTGCTAAATTTTAAAAAGAATAACTTCTAATAACTTCCAAATAGATCAATTCATATTTGCCACTTCCTTTCCTGCATGAAAGCTATGCAGGTGAAAGTTAGAGCATGTATTTGATTCTCCCTCTCCAATATCATTTTTTAGAGGGGTTTAAAACCTTAATCTTGAACTTGTTCCGAACTCCGAATTAGTTCATAGGGAACCTATAAAATTTCCGGCAGGAGAAATCCAAAAAAAAAAAAAAAAAATATTAGCCACTTCCCCCAAAAGAACTTGGAGCCTGTTTGGATGAGCTTTTTAAAAAAAGACTTTTTATGCATTACTTATTTTAGAAGTACTTTTTACAAAAGCCAAAACTATTTAAATTTTGAAAAAAAATATTTGACTTTTGACTTTTACAAGCTAAAATTTTTAGCTTAAAAAAAATGCTTTTGCCTTTTTTTATGACTTCCCCCATTTTTTTAAAGAGGACATCTAAACACTAATTTGTAGTGAGAAGGACCTTTTTTGGGAAAAAAAACAGCATTTGGAAAAAAAAAATGCTCATCCAAATGGGCTCTTGATCCAGTAACCGGATTCATTTTACCAAATCAAATTTGTAAAAAGGCTCCTTTTGTGAAAAAATAAAATAAAAAATAGCAGCGCCACCAGTATTTGTTCCACCTAATTTTATCTTTCATTTGCTCCTATTGTGAAAGCCCGTTTTGAATAACAATACCCAACAGAATGCACACACACGCACCCCAGATGACCATGAGAAACACAATAATCTATGAACTACGATTGAACACTCACAAAAACCACAATAGGCATAACCCATAGGATCAACCTATGAATTGAAAAATAAACCCTGCAAGTTGTTTGGTATGTAGTCATTCTAATTCCTCAACTTTAAAAACTTGCTTATATAGTACTTGGGTGATATATGTTAAAAAAGTGCAAATGTACAAAAAAAAGTGCGATATATGTGAAAAAAGCTCAAGATCCCAATGCTGACAAATTTAACATCAAAATTCCAAATTTTCCATATAACTCAAACCAAAACGACATATATGTAACTTTTGAAGTACTTGGAAACCTAGAATAACCACAAAGCAAATGCCTCAAGAACAGTTCATCTTATCAAGAAAAATTTGTTTTCATTGAAAATTTACAAATTATCCCCTTTTCAAGATATATATATATATATATATATATATATATATATATATATTAAATAATCTGACGGAAAGATGAAAATAAAAAAGTAAATAGAAAAAATATTCAAATTTCTTACCTTGATCTGCAAAAAACTATACTTTGGAAGTTTTTTTAATCAGAAAGAAAAGAAAATTGAACAAAGACAATAAAAAAATATAAAATAGAAAGTATATATATATAAATATTGAAAATTACTTTATTGCTACAATGAGTACCAAAGAATGGTTGGAATTTACAAAAAAAGAATGGTTGGAATCAATATAGCACAAATAATTAACTAAGAGGCAAGATCAATGGTTAAGTACAATTCCCCTAGCATGATCACAAAATCAGCACAAAAAGTCTCTATTATTGGAGGCAATTTTAAATTAAAGAACTAGTGGTTACAGCCTTTACACATATTAAAAATTTAGAATACAGTAAATCATAATAGATGATATGATGTGCCTGTAAATAAAATGAATCATATAGAAAAGAAGCTGAACTTTAAAAGGGGAATCTCGGAGGGAAAGTTTTAAAAGCATGTGTTCACAAAATAACACCAGCATATGATGGATGGAATGCACAGGTGCACACACACACACACAAAACCCAGATACAGGTAAACAGATTTGGACTGCTAGAAGCTGAAGAAACCACATAAAAGGAGATCATAAGCATTATATCAATCTTCAAATTTCCAATAGATATTAGATATTAAACCTTCCATCATCGGAAGTACATCTGGATATCAGAATGACCACAAAATGTAGTAGTTTATCTTGAATCACATGCCTATATCTCATATGGTTAACAGAGTTTACTGTTTACATTGGAGATTGGAGATTGGACAAAGTGCGAGAGAAAAGTAAGACATAATTTAATTGAAGACAACGGTGAAACAAATAAGCTAAATGGAAGAAGTGGGCTTTTACCTCAGTGAACAATGCCCAAAACTCAGCTTCAGCATCTCATAAAGTGTACCAAACCTTTCAAAATCCTTCAGTTACATATAGAGAGCTTGCCTGTCCACTCATCAGCTACCCCATAATCAAGGCTGAGCTCTCTCATTGGAGGGATGTTCTCCATTGCAAATAGCATAAGGCGAGGGAACATCAAATTATTGTGATCATACAGAACAAACTGAACCAACACATTCGGACTTGAACTATGACTCATATAGCAAGCAACATTCCTCATTCCGGACACATCCATAGCGAAATCTAAAGGAGGAATTGATGGATATGATGGACGAACATAATTGGGATCTATCAGAGATAAATTCCCCCATTCTTCCCACCTATTAGAAAACCGATTTGGATATACCAACGAATCACCATTCATTGACAAAACTTGTGCTTGCTCCCTGGTCAGAACAACCCCTGTGAACTCACAGATAAAAGCACCCGCTTGAATAAGGTCCAAGGACCTAACTCCCCATCCAGTTTCCCTAGATCTAAACACTTCCAACCTATTTTTCAGCCCCTTTTGTGTGACACGATTCCGACAATGAGGAGGACATTGGCAAAAAGGGCCACATTCAAAAATTACAGGCTTCCCTCTCACGAGAACCCCACTTTGAGTATAAGGAAACTCGCCTCCATTCTTCAAAGCACAAAAGCATCCATCAACACAACCATCTACACACTCACAACCCGCAGATCTCCCAGTTTGATGAAACACAAACTGCGGAAAATTGGTCTTAGTAAGATACTCATAACGAAGAGGGTCATGAGCTCGGTCTATATCATTAAAAACACGAACGGGAAACTTCTCCATCCCGCTCGAAAGATCAAGAGAAAAACAACACATGGGTTTAATACTCAATGGATCTTTCCTAAGCCTATCAGCGTCTGTCATAACTGTACTACCCATCTTAGCCTGTCCATCAATCCTCACTAGCTTATACTTATATACACCAAACCCAGACTTACCAACATCAAACCAGCATTCAAGGATTCTATATAAGCCATCATATACATACACCTTACCTGAAGTTGAGGTTGTTCCCTCAAACCGAACCCCTCGAATGACCCTCACTTCAATCCCATAGCGCATGCTTCTCTCCATTGCAAGGTTCCCTCCTTCCAACTTCTGATCAAAAACCTGCTTTGAATGCTTATCTTGGCCTCCATGACCCGAATAGATGATAACATCATCTTTATCCAAATCATCCTCGTACCCACCAGAGACTATAACACTTGTAGCAATTGGTTCACCATTTGAACTCATGCGAGAGGGAAGATAATCAATCCCAGCTTGTGGCTGACCGTGCAACCCAACCACATACAATTCCATCCTATAAAGGAACACATCACCAATGCAAATACCAGGTATTGCACCCACAATCCTCTTATCACGATTCAGACACAAACCACTCCTCCTCATCAGTTTAGAAGCCTTCAAATCACTCCTCTTCCTCCCAGAATCCACCACCTTCCTCTCATCCTCCACTGACATCATCACGCGCAGCGCGTCGTATGTCATCCTCGTCCTCCGAATCTCAGACCGAAAATTTCGCATCTCCTTCATCCCGAAATCCACCATCCTCACCAGCTCCTTCCACCGCCGCCGCGCCGGCGGCGGCGGAGAAATGTTATTCTCCGGCACCGATACCGGCACGATTGCCTTCGAATCCGGGTCCGAAATGACGTCGTTCAGGAATTGCTTCGAGACTCGGTCAAACTCAGAGTACAAGTTGCCGCTTCCGTTGCCATTGTTGTTGCTGTTATCCCCTGCGGACCCACCTAGGGTTTCTTCACTGAAGATGTTGAGGTTGAGAGACCCATTTGAGAGCTTGGATTGGTGGGGTTCTTGTGAGATTTGGGTGGCGAGCCATTCGTCGAAAGGTTCGAGCTTGGGGGTGAGTATTGGGGTTTGGATTGTGGCGGTAACGGTGGCGGAAGAACCGGCGGGGTTGGGGATTCCGGGCGGTGGGAGAGATTTTTCAGTGGAGAGGAAAGAATCCATTAAGCGTGAAAATCTTGCTACGTAGTGTTTAGATTTGAAGCATAGGTTATGGTTATGGTGATGGTGAATGAGAGAAGAAGTTAGCTTTTAAAGTTCTGAACTTTGGTGGTAAAATGAAATTTTTTGAACTACACTTAAAAAGTGCTTACCTCTTTTTTTTCTTGCAAAATCTAAAACTGTCTTAGATTACAAATGGTCTATTTATTGCAAAGTGTGCAACCGTCTCTTATTTATTTACATATTTATTTATTTTTATGATCAATTGATCATGATAAGTGATAAATGCTGCTTTTATTTTTTTTATTTTTTTTTTCTTTTAATTTTGAAGGTTATTTTTGTAATTATAATACTTAAAGTTAATTTAATATTATTTGAATTGAATCAATTTAATTTAATTTTAACATTAATTTTATTGTAAAAAATAAGATTTAAATTAATTCTTATATTTGAAATACCTCAAAAAAGAATAAAATTATTTTGTTTTGATTTTTTCTTTCTTTCTTAACTTAAATTATAATAAGTAGTAAATCCATAAATATAGGTAAAATTGTTAATTCAAACATTCAACATTATAATCAGATAAAATCTACTCAAATCCAGCAAAGCTGATTGAATTGGAAATGGATTAATGTTAAAAAAACATGATATGGTCATGTGAGAAGATCTCAATCATACAAAAGTAAATCAACGGTTATGATTTTGTAACTACTTATTTTAATATATTTTCTCTCTCACCATTTATTACCATTGATCTATCTTTGTATGGTTATGATTTCCCACGTGACATGGTCATGTGATTTTTCACATTAGAGGATCTAAATCCGATTGAATTTGTAAACAAAAATGATTTAACTACCAAAAAAAACTTTGAAGGTGGATATTCTTACAACAACAAAAATTCACTATCAATCCATTACCAATCTAAACATCATTAGATCAAATAAAGAGAATGTTGAAATATTATGAAGCACCACACTTCAAAAGATTAGATAGGTAGTGGGTTGGTAGTAAGTATTTTTGGTAATAAGAATATCCCCCTTAAAAACTTTAATTTTAACTTTAATTTTGAATGTCATTTTTGTAATTATGCCTTAAACAAAAATGATTTAAAAATTAACTACCAAAAAAATGATTTCAAAATTTAATAAAAAAGATTTGTAATATAATTTAATAAATTTCATTTCAAAACTTTCCAAATGCAATACTCACCACTTTAAAATAGTTAGCATAAATAGTCAATAATATTTTTTTCTCCAAGTTTTTTCTCTCTCAAATTATTCTATAATCGTTTGTGTCAATCTTTAATTAAGAAAAAATATATATATTTAAAGTAAAATTGTTTTTACAATAAAAAATAGGGGTTTTTTTTTTTTTTTGGTAAGCAACAAATAGTGTTATTTATCCTTAAATTTTAACGGATGGAACTAACGATATACTTTAAATTAAATAGATATTTTTATTCACTTTTTTTTGTAACAAAAATTATATATTTTTTTTGGTAAACTACAGAAAATAAAAAATTCTTTAATCATTTATAGCTAAGTTGTCAATTGTTTTATTTAAGAAAGATGAAAGTGCAACATGTAATAGTTAGACTGTCTTGCTTAACACTGGGATTTTATTTCAAAACTTTTTATTTGTTTTTTATTATCATGGCAGGTTTACCTCTTAGTTTTCGTTTTCCTTTTTGATGGCATAAATAACCAATAATATTTTTATTTTATTTTTAAAAGAAACTTTGCCAAATCCCTCTTGTGCTACTTTATCGGCTCATGATGGATAGGATAAAAAAGTTGGATAAGAATAGGAAAGAATATGGGCAAGATAAGCATATATCGTATCATGTGTTTAATATGCACTAGATTAGCGGTCGATAGGATTATATTATCCTATCATATATTTAAGGTGTAATATTTTAAAATAATAATAATAATAAATAAAATATAAAATATCTTAGATATTTTAGAAAAATAATGATTAGCTTTTAAGATTTTTATAAAAGTAATGATTAGATTCCTTATATTTTTGTAAAGGTAATGATTAAGATTTCTTATATTTTTATAAAAGTAATGATTAGATTCCTTAAATATTTATAAAGGTAATGATTAGATTCCTTAGATTTTTATTAAAAGTAATGATTACATTCTTTTTTGAAATTCTGTATAAAACCCCCAAAGAAACTTAAGGGTAAGAAGAAGAGAGAGAAGGAAAGAGAAAGAAAAAAGAAAAAAGAAATGTAATATTGGGAGTAAACAACTCATTCTTTTTCTTTACTTTTAAAGTTGCTTTAGATATTTACAAAAAAAAAAAAAAAAGTTGCTTTTTTAGATATTTTAGAAAGATATGTTGATTTTGTTGTTATCTATGTCATGTTGAAAGTTGGTATTTCAAAGTTAAGTTGTGAAGAAGTCGTTACTCTGCCAAAATTATTTTATGACTTCTTTCTACTTTTTTAAATTGTTTTCTATATTTGGCTTTGTGAATTTGATGAATTTACTTATATTAGATATGAGAATGATCTTGAATCAAGTTTATAGAAATTAAAGAATTTCTTTTTTACTAAATGAATACTAATTGAATATGTAATTTTTTACTGAATGATTCTGATATGACTGACCCACAAGGGGATCAGAATGGTTATAGGGTAAGGGACGTCTTATCATGGCTTGAGCTACGCCATACCGAACCTTTTACATACAGAATCCACAGAATTTGGGCGCTCACAAAATTGAGCATTAGTCATTTCAATTAAAGATTACACGTTCCTATATATGTTTATATCTAGAACCCACAAAGTTTGGGTAGAACCCATAAAGGTTTGGGTATGACTAAATGAAGAACCCACAAAAGTCTGGGCTTATATTTATTATTTATGATATTATTTTCTTATTATAAATTTATTTTGTGAAAATGATATTTTCCACTAAAGTGACTGGATTGATTATAGTTCGAAAGCCCAATATTACTGAGATTTATCTCACATGTGTTTGTTTTTATGCTAACCTTTCCAGAGTAAACATGCTAGTATGTGTAGCTTTGGAGTAGGATAAAGAGCTATGATTAAAGACTTTGAAGACTATACGGAGCTTAGTGGAGCAATAAAAAAAACATTTATTTTTAGTTTATATTAAGATGTATTTCTGATGTAATAGTGAACTTGACTTCTGTATAATTAAATTTTAAGCATATTTTATCATATGTCTTATTTTATATTCATCGCGTTACAGTATCACTTAAGAATTAATGTGATATCCTCTATGTTAGTCAGTTGTAGAGGAAGTTACATAAGTTGGACCAGATAGTGTCAGAATTTGATAAAAATAGACAAAAATATCATTTATAGCATAATTTTATATATTTTTTAATATTTTTTAACTTATTTATACATTAACTTCTATTTTTAATTATTCAAAATATCTAAAATTCTTTTAATTTTTTTTTTTAAAAAAGCATTTATAATACATGAAAATTAACCTCATGAGGTAAATTTAAATCAAATTTTGTTCATATAAACAAGGACTATAAACTTAGCCAAGATTTGATTTTGATATAAAAGAAATCCAAAATATGGTTAAATCATTTTAACAAACAGTTGGGTACCTATTAAAATAGAAGTAGAGATACAATTTAATTGGGAAATAACTAGTAATTGTGTTGATCAGACACATTAAGTTTGGGATCCACAAGATTACTAGGAACCCTTGTTCCAGATTGAATTGGAAATTGGTATAGATTACAGTTTTAGGATGTGACATTGCATTTGTGAATGCTACTATCAAAACAAGTAACAAGAACCAAATTCAGAAACTATTAAATTAACTAGAAACCCAGACTTATAATCAAATCAAATAATATGATACAAATTTAATGAATAATCCAATGTAAATTTTTCAGAAACAAGTTCCAACCAATCGAAGATAATACAGTTTTGGTATTCACCACCAACCACCACAGACCCGATCGGCACGCCTACCGCCAAGCGGAAAGGGTGGTGGGCACCGAAGGCGGCAGCGGAGAAGACAACACAACTAAACCCTCATCCTGCTTCTATCCAACACCAACACCCATATAAGCACAGATCTACGATCTTTTTGCCGATGGTGTAGTGTTCTATGGCGAAGTTGTTGGCGCCGTCCTCCTTGCCGGAAATGAGTTGTTTAGGGATGAAGAGATGCTGATAAGTGCTGGCTATAATAACCCACACCGATAAAATAAGAAATTGGTATTTTTCCATAATTAAGAATAATTAATTAGACGAGAAATTTAATTGAAGAAATAAAGTCATTTTAATATAAAAATGAGATTTTAGTAATTTTTGGTAAAAACAATAACTTTACTGTTACCCAAAATCTAGTAAATGAGATAATGAGAAGATATCTCACCGGATTATTAAATGTAGAAACACATGTTGAGAGATGCTAAGTATTGGCTAGAAATTAGTAAGAAAATAAGGTGAAATAGAAAATTACTATGTTTAGTGGTGTGACCGATTCTACCGATCACTTAAGTGACTTAATAAAACAAAGAAAGACACATTAGAAAATCATTTTCAGCTCCTCTCCCTCCTTTGTTTGACAACCAGCATAGAAGAAAAGAGAGAAGTTTGAGAGAAATTTCCAAAATTGATAGCTTAAGCTATAGTTGATAGATTTGTGTGATTCCAAAGCCAAAATCACCTGAAATCTTTCAAGGAATCCATTCCTCGTCTTATTTTCGAGTGGGGTTGAGTGTGGAGTGAGTTATTGTTCCCCAAAGATTTCGAAACTTACATGAAGTGTGGTGTTTTTTGGAGCTCTTTAATCAATGGATGCTTGGAAACTCACTCCTCCTTTGTTCAAGTGTTGATTGTGGTAAGATTTTCTAGCCCTAGCCTTGTTTTCATGAAATTTCATATACCTAGGGTTGGATGAATAGTAAATTTTGAAATGTGCATGAAATATGTAGATAAAAGATGTTTTAGACATGGATGTAGTTGTAGAATATGTTTAGAATGTTCCAAGAAAAAAGGAAAACAATAAAATTGATGGTTATGTC